ATGGAGGTGGAACTGGCACACAGTGAGGAACATGGCAAGAAAATGAAGATTCCTTTTAGATTGGAGATTTGGCTAAACTTGAGAATTGAAATAAGGTTAAAGAAAACCTTATAAAGATGCTTTTGCAGTCCTTGCTAAAAGAGTGTAAAATCAAACCAGTATGTCATCCCTTAGAGGAAAACAGACACTCTTCATACTGGGACAAACCAAAGCTCTGTCTAGCTCCAGGTCTTGTTTCTGATAGCGATCAGGAGCAGATGCTTAGGAAAAGCAAGGACAGTATGGACTAGTGGGTATAGCTCCAGCTAGAAAATAGGATGCTGAACTAGAAGAATGTATGTGCCGCCTTTGGTTAAGACAGATCTGGAGAGAGGTTTGTGCTGAAATGTGCTGATCTGCCAGGCAGAAAATTGGGACATTTCTCTGCCTTTTGCTCATCTGCTCTGTCATCTGTGTTTACTCCAGTATTTTTAGCATCTGGAAGCATGCCTGGGTGATAATGAGCAAACATTTAATCATGGCCCTCAGGAGTTTTCAAGCTTGAAGTAGTTTTAGATTTGGCATAGTAAATTATGGTGACAAACAGCTGATCAGATGAAACACAGTACTAAGGCTTAGGGAGCAAATTGGGGGATTGCTTTAAGTACCAGTTTAATCTTCTTTCAGATATGATGATGCTTGAATGCAAGCATTATTACAGTCTTTCAAAGACCAGATCTTTCAGTGATTCTCCCTATTTTAGGAAACAGACATGAGTAGTTTTTTCTCTCATCAAGGGTAAATCATTGAGGTGCTCATAAGAACAAATCCGATTTTTCTTTAATTACACAACAATGGTGTGTATATGACACACTGAATCCAGTACTGGTGGTTTTTCTCCCACCCTGCTGCAGTAGAAGTAGAAGAGATCAGGAAGATGTGAAGCAGGGAAGGTCTTGTCATTGGAAGCAAATCAGAAAAGGGCTCTTTCTGAGGGCAGCCTCTACTGGCTGGGGGTTAGCACCCACTGACCAAAAATCAGGTGAATGTTCCAAGTCAGTGGCATCAAATGGAAATGTTTCTGAGCTTGTTTACATATTGCTGCTAGCCACCAGAAGGTCTCTTTTCTGTCATGGTAATAAGTAAAAATGATTCTCTGAGTGTCTTGTGTAAAAAAAAAAAAAAAAAAAAAAAATGCAAAGCCAAACCTGCTGCCCACTGGCTTGTGGTAGGAGTTTGGAATTGATCCTACACCTGAATTGGATCCTGCCTGCTAGCAAAAGTTGGTAGAGAACTGTTTTAATCCACCAGCCCAACCCACCCCAATTGTTATGGACAAAGCATTTGAGCCAATTAGAATTTGTCATATCTGGAATTAATTCTGTTATTCTTCTTAGCAGGGATAAAAGCTTGAGTAGCTCTTTCCTGCAGCAGAGTGTTAACTGAAGGCTGCATGCTTCCAGTTAGAATTAAAAAGTACTATTTTCTATGTTCTGTTGATTTGTCCAGTTTAAACGCCTCTGCTTGTTACTTTCCATCATTTAAAGGCATATTTACTGATCCCCGTTTAGTGTAAGAATTTGCTGTTAAGTGTAGGAAAAAGGCAGTATATGCTCAGTCACTGAGTTTGAACGAGGCCTCTCTTTGCTTTAGTTGTCGTTCCTATGGGAACACATACAAGATTTACAGACTGCAGTTCTGTATGTGTGTACTAAAAGATTCGCCTTTTACAGTGTGAGATCAGGCTTCAGTGGTCACACACCGTGTAGTCAGGTGGCTGTATTCCAGAAACATGACCTGTTTGAGGCCTGATGCCACCACTGGGCACTGTGCAGTGACAGATCACGTTCTGCCCTGATCATGTACCTCCTGTCTGTGTTATCTGTGCTTTACAGATAAGAATCTTTTCAATCTTTCAGGTTTGTGATCTGCATTGGATAGCATCTCAGGTTTGTAAGTCTGTGGGTGTATAGAATGAGTAGGTGTATGCATGCACTTGTGTATCTGATATAGCTCTAGGTGTTTTGCAGTCTGGCTGCAAGAACAACTGTGTTTTAATTTATTTGACGTTTTCCCATTTATTGATACAGGTAATGTATCTGAGACAACTCAGTTCTGTAAGGTGAGGGCCTACAGCAGTTCAGGTGGCGGTGCAGGACTGTGGCATTTTGCTAGCTAGGACCAGGTAGGAATACAGCTGCCTAAAGGCAAGGCAAAGGTGGAAATTCTAAATCTTAAAGGTAACTCATCTGTTAATCCCATACTAGACATGTAATGTGAAGTAAAATGAGCTAAAAATACCCTCCAGTTTATCAAACTGAGGCTTTTGGTCATTTTTATCATTGCAACAAGCTTAGATTAAAATCAACATGCAAAAAAAGTGTTTCCTAAGCCACAGAGGGTGAGAATTCTCACTCTCAGCAATTACACAATTCTCTTCAGGCAGTGGACTAGAAAGTTCTGATACAAACACATCCTAGTTTAAAAGAAATGGGAGTAGTGAGGACTGGAGCCATGAAGTCATGTCTGCTTTCGTACATCGGCGCTTTCAGTCCTATGGTTACCTCTGCCAAAAACCTTATTGTAAACCACATTTCCTCACACAAACTTTCTCCCTGTTTCATCCTCTGATGTGTGTCTGAGCAGTTACAAAGCTTTAAAGAGATGGAGAAGCAGTGTCTGCAGATCGTGTCTGAGTTTTGTGCGGGTGAGTTTCTATGTAAATTCATCACTTGGGTTCAGCTGCTTTATTCGCCCTCATTCTCTCCTGTGTCAAATGTTAGGATGACACAAACTTTAAATCCCCAGCTGTCTTAAGCATTTTTCTTTCCAAGCCCAGGATTCCATTGACAGCTGAGCCTGAATAAACCCTTAACTTCTCCAGATTAGAAGACTACATATATTTTTATAGAAATGTAATTGTATATTTTAAAAACCAGTTTCCTGCAGCTTCTCCACCTGTATTTCCCCCTCCCCCCCTTGTAGTTCAGATTTGATATAAACTTTTTTGTGTTCATTCTTTTTATGTTCTGTTTTTAAATTTGTAGCCCAAGCTTTGGTGTACTGTACAGGAGCAGTCAGCCTTTGTAATTACTGTATAAATGCTTTATAATAAAGTATATTACTTTTATTTTAACAAGTAAGCAGACACTTCCTTTTGTGTGTTTGCTGCCTAGGGCACCTTTTAAAAGACTGTTACGTGTTTAAAATGTACATATATAAATATATTTACCTGTTGCTGTACAGTTGTGATAGACTGGACTGAATTTATTTTTTGTGTGCTTTTTTTATAAGATATTAATACACTAAAGGAAATCTTGCTGATGTGATTGTAATGTACTATGTAACTTATTTACTGAATATCCGCTATATATCGAAAAAACCTTTTATTAAATGAGGTTTAAAAAATAGTTTCCTAGCTGAGTGTTTTGATGGCTGCGGAGGGAGGTCAGGGCAATAGTGACACGAGAAGGAATTGTGAGTCCTGCGCTAGTCTGCACTCGGCATACCCACCCCTGTGTTTTCCGTAGCGATCCTTGAAGCTGTTTCTCAATGTAAACTTCTGCCAAGGACACCACCCTGCAGCGTGGTTTATGTCTTGTATCCAAGAAGAAACTGGCAGATGCAGCTCCAGTTGCTTTACAGAAGAACTGATGGTGTAAGTGTGTCCCCCTCCAAGCCAACTACGTTCCCAGAATGCTAGAAACAACCGTGATAATGCATTCGAAATTCCTGGGGTATAGTGCTAGGTCCGCTGTGCTGTAAATAAGGCCAGCTGGATTCTGACGCTACCCGAGACACCTACAAAGGCTGCATGGAGTTAGACACCCAAGGGGCCTGTATCACACCTGAATTCCTGGATGGCTTTGGCAGGGACAGAAAATAGAGATTAAAGTAAATCCAGAGCTGCTGGAGAAAGAATTGACATTTTCGTGCTGTTGAGCAGTTGAATCTGCTGGATGTAAAACAGTGCCTTCAGCTCCAAGCTGTATGGCATATTTTTTAATGCTAGCATTTAAAAAGTGTTTCAGTAAATGCTGTCTTAAAGGCATTTGTCTGTTACCTGAATCTAAGCGGTTTTTATACAGCACTAATCATGTTTCTTCTGGCAGTAGCTGGATCTCTTGCTAGAGATTTTAAATATTAACATGCCCACCCACCCTCCAAACAAAGGTTCCTTCTGTTTTGGTAGATACCTGGTTTTGCTGAAGTAGGCTACACAGGTGCTTCTCCCACCTGTGGGCATGAGGTCTTTAAAAGCTGCAAATGCTTCACTACATAAAGCGTGTGGTGGGAATGTGCATGGGCTCCTGCTGGATTTCAGTCACAATCCCAGGTAGCACATTTGTTTTGAGTTGTTAATTTATGCTGGTGTGTTTTCCATGTTCCTGGCAAAGCTGGCAGGACAAGGCTTGGGCTAAGACATTAAACTGCTCTTTGTTTCAACTCTGCAGAAGCCTTTGCTTTGATTTACTCCTGTGGATTTGGCTGTTGATAGGCAGTAATACTTGGAGCAGTAAGTGATATTTTGCTTGGTGGGCAAAGGGAGAGGGAACATCAAAGCCTTCACCTCAGGTAGCAGACCAAGACTTGTTTAAGGCTTTAAATAATGTATTTGCCTCCCTGTCAAAGCCAACTGGCAAAGGTGCTGAAGGCTGACTACTTTGTACTACAAGTGGGAAGCCATGCAAACAAACTTTGGATGATCAAAAAAAAGTCACAAGTTCTGGACATTTTGCTTTTCATCTTTTAACTGGTGGATACAAGCCCAAGCTTCTAGAAGTTACTTCAACTACTGAGACATTATAAAGCATTTTAGTGATTAGTAAGCTTTTGAGTTAGTGGCATTGTGAGGAATTCTGCAGTGATTCCCTGTATGGTTTTTAAATGGCATTACAACTATCACTGCAGGAGGCCATTCCTGGCATTACTGAGAACAACTGCTAGGGAGTGTAGGGGTTTTTCTTTATACTGGAGATTTGAAATTAGGTTTCAGCGACACTGCCTGTGGAAGGGCAAAGTTTCTATTACAGAAGTTTATTAATGAGTCAGCCTTCTCTTGTCCAGGCTTAATGGAATTGATAGTATCTTGCTGTTAACAAAACTTAATCTTGTACTGAAGAACGTCTAGCCATTTATTTAACTTACTTGGATTTTTTCCCTATATAGCAGTAGTACACTTTTCTCTTAGGACCTAAGAACAAAGTCTGACAAACAGCATCTTAGAAGATGGAAAAATACTTATGTCTCAGATGACAACAATCACAATATATCAGCATTTTAAAAGACTTAAGTTATTTTCTATTCTAAAATATAGAGGCAATAGGAACAGCATTTACATACTCTCATACTATAAATACATTGCTCCCTGAGCAGCTAGGAAAGTTTAATGAGAAAAAACTTCAGTTTCTGAATGCTCTCCACAAGCTGAACTATTTAATTACGCAACAGCCAAACAGGTTTGTATAAAATAACGTTATATTATTTTTAAACAAGTTTCACAGAATAACATTTATAAACATAGGCCTATATAATTTAAAAACAGCAAGTTTAACAGCTTCATCATGCTACAAAATTACTGTATACAAAAGATAGCCCAAGGGGATGTTAGAAGTGCTCTCTTGCTTGAAGGGTTTTCTGGTCTACTTCTAGTGTAACCCAAGTCATCTGCTGGTTCTCAGGTCTCTTCTCATACTTCCTCAGCAGCTCTCAATATAATCACTGCATATGTAAGCTCTTTGAAGAGAGGTCAGTGTGCTAGCAAACAGGTAAAAAAAACCTAGCTATTTCCTATCACTAATATAATTTTAGGGTACTTCTCTTAAAGAATAAAGTGGATGCTCATCCTCTAATGTCACAGGGAAAAGCAGAATTCCACATGGCTTGCAAGTTTTCAACATGGGTGTTCTTTTCATCCATGAAGAATAATGTGCTTACTACCTCACTGGATCTGGTGTGATAGGGAAGAGCAGAGAGTGATACAGAAAGAGAAGCCTTTCACCATTTAATTCAGTCGCTCCCCACTGGCATGCAGGCTAAGCTTTGCGTTAGCTTATACATGACATGTTGTAGCACCATTAATATGTGAATCAGCTGCTTTAATTCTACTACCTCTGTCTTCCACCACATCCAGTGCAGAACTTTAAAGTGCAAATTTTAAAATTTAGGAAAACTTTATTTATTTTGGGGGAGAAAAGGTTCAGGGGGGTGTGTGATTTTTCTGGTTTTTTTTTCTTGAGAGGAATTGTCATTCATCAGGTAAAGCAACATTAAGCTGAACCTTCCACACAGCTTTGAACCGAAGCACCTCCTGGGAACTAAGAGCTACAGTTTTATTCTTTTTTACTGTATGTTTCATTGAGATTGACATAAAGGTTCTATTAGAAGGGGTTTAAATTTATCCTAATTTCTCACAACACGAAGGGGGAAAGGTGAGGGAAATCTTACACTGCAAGGGTTCCTTTACTGCTATTACAGTTGTGCTGAGACTGGATGCTCTGTCCCTTCAGTAATGATTTTGCTTTTTCTTTTTTGATGGTATTTATAATGCAAACCCCAAGAAAGAGCTACAGAATTTGTGCTGTTCAATCTGTGAAAAGAGCTTATGCAAATACACCCCACTCCACCACCAACTGCAGTGGTTCACTGCCTCATTCCCACATGTATCACCTGTATTGGTCACTTCCAAGAGCCAGGAACAGCTCTTACCTCTCCCGTCCTGCCAATGGAGCTGTGTTTTGCTCCAATCACCACCACACAGTCAGAACACTCAGATGCTATTCTGCACCCAAAATAGCCAGTGTAGAGCATCTGCTGTATCTAACACTACTTCAGAAATGTACAGACTTAGACTGTGTTTAGATATTATGAAAGCAACCAGCAGGATTACTAGGCATTAGACTGTGTGCTCATACCTCCCTTTCTGTAACCTAGCCATGAGTACCACACCTCCAGACACTGTTCTAGGAGACACCAGCTACAGAGATTTAAACACTTTTCTTTGTAGCCAAGCCCTAGGACAAGAGCATTGCACGGTCTATTCTGAAAATGTCTCCAAACACATGGATGAATTTGGTGTTTCCATTTGTTGGTAGTACTCAAAAGTCAAGTTTTACTCCACTCAAGCTCTGGCTCACCGTTGTGGTTTAAGCTCAGCCAGCAACCCAACATGAAGCTGCTTGCTCACTCTCCCCCTTCCTCTGCCCCGCTCCCAGAGGGATTGGGAGGAGAATTGAAAGAATGTAACTCCCACGGGTTGAGATGAGAACAGTCCAGTAACTAAGGTATAGCACAAATCACTACTGCTGCCACCAATAATAAGGGAAATAACAAGGGAAGAGAATACAACTGCTCACCACCCGCCGACCAATACCCAGCCCAACCTGAGCAGTGATCTAGCCCTTCTGGGTAACTGCCCCCAGTTTATATACTGGGCATGATGTGCTGTGGTATGGAACACCTCTTTGGTCAGTTTGGGTCAGGTGTCCTGTCTCTGCTTCCTCCCGGCTTCCCCTCCTCCCTGGCAGAGCATGAGGCTCACAAAGTCCTTGGTCAGAGTAAACATTACGGAGCAGCAACTAAAAGCATTGGTGTTATCAGCACTGTTCCCAGGCTGAAAGTCAAAAACACAGCGCTGCACCAGCTACTAAGAAGGAGAAAAATGACTGCTACTGCTGAACCCAGGACACTCACATTAACCACGCTTTAACTACAGTCGCCAAGGGCACAGGCCAATCCCTGTTGCTCCACCACAGCAGATGGGGTCAGCAGGGGCTGAGCATGCCCCAGGCTCTGTACTGCCAAAGCGTCTACTTTGCCAGAAGCAGTTGGGTGCAAGTGAACTGAACAGCTTAGCTTTTAAAAGATGACAACACAAAATAGCTATTGACTATGTACAGTCCCTCCCATCTTGTTTCAGTGGGACCTTTACTAATGATCTAGGAGAATAATTCTGTAAGAAATGACATAGGAATATGAAGTGGTCTGCAAGATAAATCCAGTGAGCAAGTTAACTAAGAAACTCTTTTCTGGCCAAGCAAACAGCTACCTGGAACGGGTTTGTGCTAGGTGAAGAATGCCATTGCACTCCTGACCCTTTTAAAGTAATGGATCTAAATCAAACTCAAGCCTTATCATCAATTGCCTATTGAAGTTGGAATGCTTAAGAATTCCTCTAACAGACACAGAATAACTATATATTGATAAACTGAGATTGTCTTGTAGCCTTCTACTTCACACCGTTCACTTAGAAATGCTCACTTTCCATCTCATCTCACCTTCCCCATTAACTACATACACTTTCTCTCACTGCTTACATCTGTGCTTTCATAACAAATGAGTATCCCAAAACCAAAATTTTCTGTCCCTAAGCCCAGGTCTTTTGTTCTCTGTTTCTGTATTTTATATCAGCCTACTCAGTTATAGGAAGATTCAGGAGCTGAGAAGGATTATGTCCACCAGTGACCCAAGCCAAACCTACGAGCCAGCTGTAGGCTAATAGGCCACATATTCCAATCTAAAGTTCTTGGTAAGCAACAAAACAAAGCAAGCTAGCAAATATTTTAGTCTCACTGAAACTATGCAAAGAATTCCCATTGCCTCTTTAAAATAAATAAACATTTAAGCTATACATGGCCTTCTAAGCAATGCAGTTGAGTTCCAATGCAAGAAGCCCAATTCAGATCTTAAAGCCAGTAACAAGCAATCATCAGACCAACACTTTCTTGTGCATAGGTCCACAACTGCAGGGCCTGTTTGGTGTAACATTGAAGGGGATGAAACGTAAAACTCGCATATTTAAAATACTGAGGGATTCCCATGGCAAAAGCAAACACAACAAAGCCTGCATTGTGCCTCTAAACTGCAACATTATTCTTTTGGCCTTGGTTTTTCCAATGATAATGTTGGCCAGCTGCACCTAACAAGCTAAAATGGTTCTATTACAACAACAAGCATCACTAAATCAGGGATTAAAACCAGCTATGTGTTAGTTTAGGTAAAGGTCTCCTGCTAGCCAAACAGCAGATGAACTCGGTTCCACTGGTCTCTACCGAAGGTGTCAAAAATTTGACAAAACTGGTGTGCCCAAATTTTGGTAACTAACTCTTTGGGTGAGAAACTGCGGAGATAAACTGGTCTTTTCAAAATTGCCCAAAGATTCTCTTCAAAACAAACATTTCATATAAAAAGTTCTATATGCTGAGCTATCTGGAGTTACTTAAATAATTAAATACCCAACAAGAAAGTGTCATCAGTTTGCTCCTTCTTCATCTTCTTCTCCTTTAATAAGTAGGACACCTAAGAGGGAAAAGAAAATTTGCAAAGATTTACAGATAGATTATGCATAAAAAGGTACAGTTAATACTGATATGCCTGAAAGCTTATCCAGACTGTTGGAAAAAAAATCAGGCTGGCAGAAAGAGGATGGGAACTTCTGCATACCTGAACTGCTCTTAATGAGAAAAGCCTTGAACAGGTCTCCTGTTGAATGTTTTTCCAACTCTTCTCAGGTAACAGGGAATAAAAAAGGTACTAAAGCAGGACCTGCACAGATCAGCCTAACCTGGTCTCTGGGAGATGCACCATGTTGGTTCAACTGCTATCAACCAACTAGCACATCACCCTTCTGTTGCTGGGCCCTTTACTTTGTGCTGCTACATGATCAAGTTTTATTATGGGATACCTCCTCGCTGATACCAGACTAGGATGTCCAGACCACAGAATACAATTATATTAATGTGAATCCAAGAAGCAATATGGTCACATCTCTTAGGGATAGCTTGGATATCACGTAATAAAGCTGTGTTACACAGTAGTGTTATAGTCTATATTCACCCCTTGGGTACTTAAAAAAATCTTACAGGAACTAACAGAAGAGATGCCTTCCTGTTGAAAGAGACCTTCAGTGCTTATTTTTGTCCAGAACATATTCAACCATTTCAGTGGTGCTGAGGTCCCTTTATTAGTCATCTCACACATAGTACACAGGCATAGCAGGATCCTGGGACAGTGTAACACCAAGAACCTTATGGCCAGTTGCAGCATTTCTGACCTCTTTTTCTCAACATTCTAGTTTTTGAGGTTTCCATTCTGAAACGTCACTCTCTTTTTCTACATTGCATAGGAAATGTACGTGCCTAATTCAGAGCTGTCCACTGCTCCAGGCTGCAAGAATGCTTAAGGAGCTAAGGGTCTAACCTTACACTAAGAAGGTTAGTCTTTGCACATACAGATACTTGCCCTATTCCATTGTTTCAGAATGTTTCCTAATACAACAGCAAACTGACTACTGCAGGCCATCCTTCACAGCAGTACAATTTTCTCACCAGCCTTCCACTTCCTAATACTTATTACTTCAGTTGATCTGACTTCCATTTCCCAGCTATTGCTCCCTGTAATGAGGCTGTCCCCTTTTCACCATCCCTAAACTTGTACATTCCCTGCTGCTGCTCTGACTCTGTATTAGTGTTACCAGTCCTCTCCTCTTTGCTGCTTTAGGAAACAGGGGATAACAGTGAAGTGCTAACATCTCCATTAATAGAAATTAACATACTCAAAACCCGATTCTAAAATCATATCACTTTTAGTCATAAATCAGGACATGCTTTAATACATTTTCATATCAGTGACTTCAAAAGGGGAGCTCACAAATCGAGGCTTACTGCAGTGACAAGGGCTATACTCAGGCATTTAGGAAACTTGCATAAGTATTGAAAACTGGCCTCTGCACCAGAAGCAAAACAGAGTGCATCCCTGTCCATCCCCATTCCCCCATGTCACACTCTTTTTTTTGGGAAAACTAAATCAAATTTGCTAGGAAAACTGTAAATCAATTTGGCAGATAAAAGTCTTGTGAACTTAACTTACTGCTAAATCTTTTAGTTCCCTTTTAGCTGTATGCTAGAACTATTTGACTGGCTAACTTCAAGAGAAAAGCCCAACTACAGGACCACTTGGATTTAACACACCAAAATCCATCATTCTCGGAAGATCCTGAAGGAAGGATCTGAGTAACAACTTCTGATTAGTTCCAAAGAGAGAAGGGAGGAATATTAATTACATAGGCACACAGATGAATTTCCAAGGTTATGATTCATTTCCCTGTGGCTGTCTTTAAATGAAGCTATTAACTTACACCAATTGCCTCATGCCCCAAACTCACCATCCAGCTTTTTCAGCTTGGGTACCCGTTTGGTTGCTTCTTCAATCCAGCTGTTCTGATCAGAGGAGAATTTCTGTTGCAGTGGATTGCCTACAAACACCAGGTCCTCTAGTAATGGCAGCTCTGCCAGTCTCACAAACTCTGCTGCAACCACAAAGGTGAAAATACCAACCAGGTTGTGGAACACAGAAAGTACACCTGCACCGCACAGTCCTTTCAAGCTCAGTACAAACATAAACAACGTGATACAACAGGAGAGAGACTGCTTGGGCTTGAACTGGTATCAGACTCCATTGGGCATAGAAGTGAAATTCAAGATGCTAACTATTTTTACTGTCTCGGATGAGTGGATATTTAGGGATTCTGTGCATGTCTGCAGGCTTATCAGAGAGACAAAGCCCTGCAACACAGATAGATAACTACTTCTTATGTGGTGACTGAACTCATGCATTCACCATACTGCAAGAGAAGTAACAGAACAGAGGTGTGGCTTACCCCAGTCTTTCACCAAATTATTTGACATATAAAGAACCTTCAGCTTCTTCATTACATGGATACCCCTCAGTTTCTCGATGAAGTTGTATGAGATCCACAGCTCCTCTAACGTCTCTCTAACTGCCTCCTGCAAAATGACAGGACTACTCAGGGAAGTGGAAGAATATTTTCCTTATTCTTCAGATTCTCTCTTCACTGTCCCCCCCACAGGTCACCACATGTGAGAAAATATTAAGATATATCACTCCTCATTTCCTTTTAAGCAGGTCCCTAATTATGCATGACAAATACTCATGGGAAGTAAGAGCAAAGGATCTGAAATAGATTTAGGAGGACAGAAATCACAATATTAGAATAAGACAAGGAATAGCTCTCTGGAGTAGTTGTTCTTAAGGCATAGGGGCAGAGGAGACAAATTTGGCTGCTGGTGCACTGCAAGTATACATGAAGTGAATGCCATTTGACAACTGCTTTAGAAGGGGTTTTAATACAAATATGAGTGATTCATTTCAGGTGCATATATGTTTGTACCTGTTGGCCATAAGTTGCTTTCATAATTCTCTCAAAAGAGAGGGTTTTTTTTTTTAAACCAGCCATTACACATTGACTCTGCATTTCACACTTCAGAGATATGGCATCTCTGAAGGTGGGAATAGCTTTGAAGAGAAACATTCTGTGGGAGAAACATACGGTGTCTCTTGAGGAAGTAAATAATTTCTGTAGGCATTAAAAAAAAATGAAAAAAGTTCTTCTACCCTTAATTCAGTTGTAACAAAAATGATCCAGTATTTTCCTCAACAATTTTTTCCCTACCTGGTAGACAGAGTCCTCCCACCATCTTTTCCCTGAAAGCCATATTGCTCCAGGTGCCAGTTAACATAAATAGGACTTTTGTAAACTGTGTGATCATAGGACTGCCAATACTTGTAGTAAAGAAGCATAGCCTGAGTATCTTCAGCTAGAAAATTCCTCATGCAAAAAGTTTGCAGGAACTACTTTCATGTAAAGTCAGTGGATTCAGAGGGCTTTACAGATAAACAGCAGTTTTCCAATAAAAGTTGGGCTCATCTTTACCAACGACAATTAAATCTCTCTTTCTAAAATCCTTTCATGTAGCAAATTAGCTCTGAAAAACCTTCAAAGATTAGGAATGTTTGAACAAAAAAAAGAGAAAGACCATCTGAAAATTCAGACGCAACGATATAAAAGGGTGAACAGATCATAGAAAAGGAGAAAATAAATGGTTAGGCAACAATGTAAATTCAGCAAAGACATTTTTGAACACAGGGGAATTAACCCACTTTCTAGACAGCACTCCATCGTTACTGAAGAATTGATACTAAGAAGCACATACCAATCCATTCAAGTTCTTTATGTTATTTCTTCCCAAAGACAGAATCCTCAAATTTTCTGTAACAGATAAAAGAAAGGGTTTTGTTAATAAATGTGAGGGCATTTTTAAATATAAGAAGATGCCATATTTTACTTACAAACAAACTGCACTCTGAACAGCTTGTCTTAAGAAAGAATGACATAACAGAAACAAAACCTCCTAACCTACACAGATCACCAGGAGCAGATGCAGTGAACAGCTCAGAAACATGCTCACGAATACAAAGCTGTTCATGTGTAGGTTACTTAGTTGAAATTCAGACCAGATAAATACTAAGTATCAATTATTATTTCACCTTGCACCTGAACTCTAACTGCTAATTTTTTAATTTTGATGCTACACAGTTCATACTCCTTCTCCAGGCAAAAGTTGTTCTAATCTTATTTTAAGGCAGCAGATTCAATTTCTATAATGAAGGCAGCATACAAAGCTACCTTAGAGAAGTCTGATGAGGGGCTTTTCAACTTGTTCTAGCACCCAGATAAAACTAGTGTAATACTAGTCTAACTCAAAGCTAACACAAAATAGCAGTCTTTTTGTATAGCTCATGTTCATGCTTCTCACAAGTTTTCTTGCAGCTGTAAATAAGCAAACGGGGTCACAGCATGCAGCTGGGTTAACTCTGGATCTATACCTTTCATTAATGTTTTAACACTTCTTTGTAACTGCATTAAGGATTAAATACTTAATAATCTTGTTTTGCTCTTGTATGCATAACGATTGAAAATGCGTGGTACAATGATTCATGACAAAGCTGATGAAAGTCTCAGCCAAGTATAAACAGGTAGTCCATACAGCACATGTAGTGGCTAGAGACTGCTACAGAGAGAGATTCCAGGCTGAGCTAGAATAGATAGTTGTATGCTCTGACTCAAGAAAAGCAGGGATGAAACCACACCTGATAAAACCACACCGGGCAAATATTCTAAAACAGGAAGATTAGTTGTCATTAAAAAGTTGATTCGCAATAATAATTCTTTTTGGTTTGAAACACAATCGCTTAATACATGACCATGCTCAAAAAATGAAGAATCATAATCAGTAAGTCTACTTTAATCAGTTAGACTACTATAGCTAATATTCTCCAGAATATATCCCTAAGGATCCCCATCCACAGGTGGTGGGAGATGGCCTTTTGTTCTAGCTAGCTATTCTCTCTGGAGCTCACATTTATAAACTATATATTTGCACTAGCTTCTGAAATTTGTAAGAAATGAAAGGACCCTTACAACTACAGAAATGAATGATTGCTTAAAAAGCCATGCCTTAAAATTGTTTCTAACTGCTGTTACTGTTTTTTATTACTCTTGTTCCAAGATATTTTATAAAGGAAGAAAGATCTCCCCTCACGTAACATTTACACTCTCTAAAACACAGAACTAACACTTATTGCTTTCATCTGAAACATTATTATTCACATGTATGGATACACGGGTGTGATCATTTGTGCAAATGCTGGAAAGGGACTCTTCATCAGGGATAGGACAAGCGGTAATGGGTTTAAACAGGGGAAGTTCACCTTACATATAAGGAAGAACGTTTTTACTGTGAGGGTGGTGAGGCACTGGCACAGGTTGCCCAAAGTGGTGGTAAATGCTCCATGCCTGGCAGTGTTCAAGGCCAGCCTGGACAGAGCCTTGGGTGACATGGTCTTCTGTGAGGTGTCCCTGCCCATGGCAGGGGGGTTGAAAACACATGATTTTAAGGTCCTTTCCAACCATAACCATTCTGTGATTATCTACTCAGCATAATTATAATATCAGGTATACATAGCAATAGTAATCTTTTCTGTCTGAAAACAGTGTAGATGCTTAAAGATTCCTCAGCTTCCTCTCTGCATTAAGCAAAGGCAATTATGCAATAACTAGTGGCTTGTTTTTCATGGCTCTTTGCTGCTTTCTCTCTCTTTCACTGAAGCCAAAAGAGACAGTGAGTTCTCCATATTCTATACCTTTAAGAGATGGACCATGTGGTTCTAGTTTGCTTGACTCAATAACCCAGCAAATTTCAAGGTTTCATAGCCAGCTGCCCAAGAAATAAAAGTTCAGTTCCACAGAGGAGATGGCACACCCCTTTCAAATATGAACAAAATCAAACCAAGTATACCTGATCCCCTGCAAAGTAGAATGACATTCTTCCATCAAAACTTACAACATTGCAACCTCATTCCAACCAATACCACAATTCCAGAGTTGTTGAACTGCAAACCACCTCTATCATGAGCACAGAAATTGGTCATTAAATCACTCTAGAACTGATGAAATGCTGAGCATCACAACTGGCCCCACTGGCGGGTACAAAGGTGCTTTCTGAACAGATCTTCTTGTTGTCTGAACTTTATAAAGTATTTAATCTAGAAAGTTATCAACCTAGGTTGTAAATAGGAAATTTGTCCTTTTCTGTATCCTCTGAAGTGTGAAATCCACTCCTTTTTAATGGCCAATCAGAAATGTTCTGGGTTGTTTTTTCTGATTCTTAACTCTGTGAATCTATTGGGTTCTCCCCCAGTTGTATCACCTGCACAGTGAAACAACTGCCAAGGCTAGTGCAGGGATACATGCTTTAACACGTCTTTACTGCTTAACATGCATTCTCAAGCAAGACTGGTAATTTTAAAGGTCACTTGTCATTTTCTAAGAGGAAGGAACAAAATAGGAGAAGAATAGGTATAAAACTGGACACATATAAAAGTCATGGTGTATGTCCTATCCAAGCAATTAGAAAACAAACATAATTAATCACTGGCTTGTCACTTACTTAGGTTGCTCAGGTTGGCGATTCTTTCAATGCAGTTTGTAGACAGCGACAGTTTCCTTTAAAAGCAAGAATAATCAACTCACAATATACAAGGGATCACTGTATCAAAGAGTTCCATGTCCAAACACCACTGCATTAGAAATAATTGTCTATTCTTACCTCATTAGATGGTGAACTAACTAGATATGGGAACAGATTTAAAATATCCTGAAACCATCAAGACTTACAACTTTATTTCCAAGGTTCTGGGAAAGTAGTTACTTACAGGACATACTGGATTATCTGTGTCCCTAACCTTATCAAACACATGGCTGTGTATTTCTGAACTGGCTCTAATCTCTTTTTGGAAGTCCTGCTGAAGTCTCCTTTCTTTCTGCATAAATTTTGGAATGAATCATCAATGTGCCAGTTAGCTGATAAGACTCCAAACATGGACCTATACTTATATGCTGATAAACAGTATGTAAAGCTTCTGGAAACAAATATCAATACAGAATCTACCTTAACTTGTAGACAGGGACCTCTGAATTAAAAAAAGGAACTTTTTTTGTACGTGGAAAGACAAGCTCAGCTGAGGAAACAAAGGAGATTGCTGCTGCTTTGAAGGCTACACTTAAACACAATAAATACATATTTGCACAGTGGACATCAGAAAAAATAGAAAATTCATATAAAGAGAAGAGAATATTTGGTTTCCAATTAACTCAATATTTGGTTTCCAATTAACTGATCTTACTCGCAGTTAACAAGCATGGAGAGAGATTCATCCATCTTCTCTACAGGAGGAATCTGACCATACAGCTTCACCTCCTTTGCCTCTGAAGCCTTCTGGCCATTTTTTTCTTCCTAAAGAAGAGAGAACATAAAGAAGAGGCTCAGTGCTACATGTAATTACTAAAAATTACTATACTAAAATCTTACTGTAAAAGTAATCACTATAGAAATAATGCCAATATAGTACTAAAAGATATTACTGGAAAGAGAAAGCATTTTGAATACCATTTATCAAGATTCCTGCTGGCATAGCATAAAAAGGGGAAGGCAGCTTCTTTTCAATATATGAAAAGAACTTGCACATTACACATGCTTTTTCTTGAAAGCTGTGTTATGCTGGAGCAATTTAATTAAGGGGTCCTAAGCTGTAAAGAAATGAAGAATAGATGGAGATCTAACACTGGCAATAATGGTACTTCCATGGAGACGGACACACAGAAGTCTTGGCAAGGGCTGATCTGTAGCACAGATTTTTAAAAGCTTTGACAGAAAAAATCACTCAGAAACTCAGAACTCAGACCTAACTCACAGCACAAACTGAACATAGGGGAGTGCGTTTTGGTGGAGAACCTCAACAGATTCACAGAGTTAAGAATTAGAAATAAAAAATATATTTCTACTTAGCCATTAAAGAGTGGATTTCACACTTTGGAGAACACAGCAAAAGGCAGATTTCCTACTTACAACCTACGTTAATAACTTTCTAGACTAAATACTTTATAAAGTTCAGAGCTTCAGAAAAAAAACATAACTTCAGCATTTGGGTTTATTAAAAACTATAGTCTATTAAATCTTTTAAAATTCTGAAGCAATGGTAATTATTGACTCAACACTTGGAACAAGTATCTCCTGAGGTAGTGCCACCAGTTTTGACAGCTGCCTCCCTGACAGCACAAAGGGAGCATTTTGTCCAGTGTTCAGTGGGAGGACTGGAGGTCCATTAACAAAGGAGAAATCTACCCGGCGCTTTCAAAACAAGGGCTCTTGTTTTCTCCCCCACTTTTATGCAGCTACTGAAAAGCCAAAGCTGAGCTCTGGCCTGGTTTATACGGCTACTTTGCAATGAAATGCATTGCATCCCAGAAGTCTTTAAGAATCTCAGAGCACAAGAGAAGGTTTCGACAACATTATTGTCTCTCTTATGCATTCAAAATACTTTGGGCAACTTAATTAAAAAAAAAAGATATTAGCATATTGGCTTGGGCATTTACTTGTATTCCAGTTTCTATCCAAATCTAGTGTGTTAATTTTTACTCAAAATTAACCATTTAGCAAATAAGCATGTCAGATATTTTGCTACAGTATGGTGGATGCGTTCAAATTAAGTCACTTCATAAATGTGAAACTTCCATTTTCTTTTCTAAGAACAACACTGAATCTATTTGCATTTATACTCAGTTTATACCAACAACTAATTCTTTTTTTTTTTCCTTAAAAACATGAAAGGGAGAGAGCTTCCAATGCACTGTGGCCAGCAGGAGGAAACTTCATCCCAACTGCCACGTGCTTCTGGAAGAAAGGTCAGCTGAAAAACCACAAAAAGGCACGGAGAAACCACAGACAGAACAGACACTTCTTTAAGAACATGGTAAGTTAAAGTTGCTTTGGTTTAAAGTTAAAGCTGCTTTGATTTAACTAATGTCAGCTTTACTCTAGGGCATAGCTAAACCCTTATGCCAAAGGGAAGGAAAACATCCGTAATGCAACACATCACCAGATCCAATTTTTCACACGGCCTCAGAAAGGAAGTTTTAGACCCATCCCCAGTAACATGATCAGAAAAGCAAATTCAGCACTTCATGCCTAACTGCAATGGAAACTCACTGACACAGGTCTATTATCTCTAAGAGACATGTGACAGAGGAGCAAACGGAAAATAAATCTTTACCAGGAAACATGGAGTTGAAAAGGCAGAAAGAGTGAAGGGGGAAAAGCACATTTTTAATACTGAGTTCACACCTCTAGTAATGTTAATGTCTGCAAGTTGTGGTATTCTAGTCCTTATGAGGAGAGCGGGAGTGAAGTTTGTGGGATATACAAACATAACTGAAAAAAAACTGAAATACTGAGGGCACTAAACAATGAGCTGAACAGTCAAACCCCATGCCACAGAGTACTGCAAAGCAGCTCGATACTGTTTCTACAACTTACCCATTTGGCTAGAGCTTCTCTGATAGTTGTTGCTTTCGCCTAAAAGATGAAAAAGTAAATGAATATTCATTGTAAATTTTCAGTTGCCTTGTTCACTACTTCCTCTCCCTTCTCTCCCCATCCTGCTTGTCTATCCCCTCCCACCCCTTTCCTGTATTACCTTCCTCCAGCTGGAACTCCTCAGTGCCCCATAATTTTATTCTCTGGACTACTTGATAGCATTTTCAGAAGCAACCAATTGGTTTCACGCAAGGACATTATCTTTCTGATTTCACTCTCTGCCCTGCCTGCAGCACGGGTTTGGGGTGCTGCTTGTTAGCTTTGATGGTGAAAGTCAATTCAATGGCATGAGACGCTACTGCGCTGAAAAATGTGGTCTAATGCTCTTAAACACCCACACTTGCTGTGCATTAGCAACTTCCCGTCTGAAAGCAAATCTGTGGTAGACAGAATGATACAGCCTCTCAAGATTCACTGAGGAAAATACCGTACCTCTTGCCAATAGTCAAGAGCAATCTCGATTGTTTATATGTGTTCTTCTTCAACCATTTTATGTCAAGTCATATTAATGTGATGTGAAAACATGTATTTCTTAGGACACAGCTGCTGTATAAAGCTTTTTAAGGACTGACCCACTGACCAACTTCCGGTTATCACTATCTCCAACTTTTCTACCTCACACCAGTCTCGTTAAAACCACATAATGATACCCAAAACAGTTGTATATCAAGAAACTCTGATATAACCTAACCATTAAACACATTCCAAGATGTCTTTTGGATTCAAAAGGTTTCAGAGACCAATCTTTCACAAAAACTGATCAACAGCCTCTCTTCTACAAACCCAGGAAGACTCTAGTTTGTACATCCCTATTGTTCTTAAGTATAGCACTACCACATGCAGATAGGAGCAGCTTTTCAGGTCATCACAGATCAAAGAAATGACTGCAAGAGTTAAAACCAACAACTAACTTCCACCCTAAATCTTACAGACAATCACCTCTGCCATGGAGCTTTAGTGCTGGTCACTCAGCTCTAGACCACTGGGAACTCTGGACCCAACAATAAAAGAAAACAGTCGAGGCAGCTGTGCTGATTAACAGGTACCAGTGTGCAAGCAAACCCAGCCTGCTTCCAGTAAACCGGGGTTTTTGGACAGGCACATCACAGCATTTTCCACAATTACAGTAGCCAACCGTTACTGCCTTCAGGTACATGATCTTGGTCACTCACGTTGAAGACAGACCAGTGCCTGCTTCTGTTTCAAACTGATGTCTAACACCAGACTAGATTTTATAGCTAATGATCCATGTGAGTACAAGGAGCAGCTTCTTCCCTGATCTCTGCTGCCTTGTCTCTCCTGTTGGTGGAAATACGAAGATCAGCACAGCTGGTTATGCAGAGAAAACGTAACAGGGATTTTGTTTGCTTTGAAGCATACTTAAAATGTCTAGACAAATCATAGTACCTCCTGTCAAGGGAGGTTACGTGAGGGAAACCTCCCTCCGAGAAGCCTATTTTCAGGGTTTCTCTACCTGCACATTGATCAGTCTCCTCCAGGTATTTAGATTAAAGTCATGTTACACAGTTTCCGTACGATGGCACCCCAGCCTCCCCGCTACTTTGATCTATCCCTGAAATCCCCCATTTCAATGCACAGTAACAGCGCAAGACTCCCCGCCTCAGCCACCGCCCCGAGCGCTGGATACCTCCTGGCCAGCTTATGCCGTGCCCGCTGCTCGGCGCCCGACACCTTCTCGGCAAAGCCGGGGGCCCCGGAGGAACTCTGCTCTGCCACAGCCGGGGCGGGAGCTGCTCAGGGGCAGCCCTGAGGGGACGCCGCTAGCCCCCGTCCCCTTCCGCCTCCCGCGCCAGGGGAGCAGCTCCATTCCCAGCCCACATGCCGGAGCAGGCCCCGGCCCCGGCCCCGGCCCCGGCCCCGGCCCCGGCCCCGGCCCCGGCCCGGCCGCCCCCCGTCAGCGCGGCACCGAGAAGACCCACCATCGCCACTGCTACCGTTACCGCGACGGTTGCTATGGAGCGGCCACCTCCCGCGCATGCGCAGCGCCGCCGACACCGCGAGGCGGGGGGGGCGAGCACGGAGACAACCGCACCTGGCGACCATAGAGCTGCGCCGCCACACAGAGCGTCCTATCCCGGAAGTCCCGTAAAGGGGGGTGGCCCGCGAGGCATTGTGGGACATGTCTGGAGGTCGGGGGGGGGGTACCAAAGGTAGTCCCGGAGGAGCCCCCTGGCGGTGCCGGGCGGACACACCTCCCGCCCTCGGAGTACCCGGTAACACGGGCCCCGGTGGCCAGAGCCCTGCCAGACCCTGTCCCGAGCTCACGGGCACCCCAGTGCCCCCAGCTCCTCCTGGCATCCCAGCGACTGCCTCCGGGAAAGGCGATAGGAGCTGCACCGGGTGAGGAATGCAACACAACATAATGTGGCTTGGGCTAAGGCACGCAATAGGCACGCGGTTCAGCATATACACAAACAATGGAGTGTCTGCATTGTAGCTCTAGTCTCCAAGTAGCACTGTAAATACACATACTAGTGCAAAAGGCCTTCTACAGGCCCTTCTGTGACTTTGTCCAGGAGCACCCTGACCCGTTCACAAAAGGATCTTCACAGTAAAATTACATGTCTTTTATTTTTCCTCCTTTGTTTAAAAAAATATCATTCAGCTTTCAAAACAAATGAACTGTTCAGAAACAAAAATATAACATCAAATTCTTGCTTTTTTTATATAGTGTTTTACTTCTCTTTCAAATTGCATATATCTGACAACATCTAACACTGAATTACTTTAAAGGCTTGTGCTTTAGAAACAAAGTTCTAGGACTTTCAAGCTACCTGGTTTTTGGTTTATTAACAACATTTACTTCCTGAACCTCCAGCTCACAATTGTTCATGGCAACAGATATGCTGAGGTAGGACTGTAGTGTGGAGTCACAGGTGGGTAACAAAACATGGTTAGAGGGAGTGCTGCTCTACCACAATACCACTCTAACTACTGAAGATGCACCTGATGAAGCAGACCAAACAGAAACCATTGGACAACCCTTTCCTCTATGGCTGCAGCTTGAATAAAAGGCAGGGTACTAACCATGGGTGACGCTAACACACATGTCACAGCAGGCTGTGGTTCTGGACTTCCTGGGCTGCCAGTTTTAGTGGAGGTTCAAGCACCAGCCAGGACTCTGCAAACGCCTCTTCAGCCAGTGAGGGAGTTTGGAGAGACTGCGCATAAAGACATTCTGTGCGGAGTGAGCAGGATGGAGCTTCTCTTGGAAGAAGTGGATGGATAAATTGTTCAATTGGCAGCGATGGTGTCTGGAGAACATGTGACTTCAATCAAATGATAAGGAGTAATAAGAGTTGCAGAAAGTTAATGAGACCTGAACAGCAGCATAATGACAGTTAACTGGAGAGAAAAGATCCCTGAGAGCAAAGCAGAACTGAGTACCACAGATGAAGGTTTTGTATCTTCCTGGATTCCTACAAATTCCTTTCTTTTTGGATTTACACTTGTAGCTAAGTAGTCATTTGGTTATTTCACATTTCAAAGCCTGTCTCAGATGAAGGTTTTGTATCTTCCTCTCAAACTGGTCTGACAAAATGACCTTGGAAGGAGAAATTGTACTGACAGAGGCCCTCCTTAAACAGGCCTTCTATGCTGGCACCACTCCAGAGAGACCCCTGTGAGAGATCAACTCATTTGGGAGTAAGTTGCTTCCTTCTGCCTAAATGGTGGGGAAAAATCAGGCACTAGCCAAAAATTCATTAGGATTAAAAATCCCACCTTCAGCAATCTCAGGCAGTCACGGAAAAGATATCCTGGGTTTGTCTGTTTTTTTTTTCTTGGGCGGGGGGGGAGGGATGATGGGGACAGAGGAGTGTGTCGGTTTGTGGTTTTAAGTATTATAAGTTAATCATTGCCATAAGGTGACAGCTTTTTACAGTCAGTCTTAAATCTTCTATTAACTAGGTTTTCTCTCAACTCCACTTCCTTCCTAAGAACAACTGTCAGCATCCATTGACACCATAACTAATGAGTCCCACAAGTAATTAATCCCTAACTAAATGACAGGTGTTATTAGTTTGAAACAAGCAATGAGGAGAGATTTAAGACCTGCACGCAGCATAACTAATTTAACCATACTTTAACCTATACAACAGCATTTGAATACTGAGTGTCAAACGTCAGTCCAAGACATAAGAGGAACAGATGGTTACATCCCTAATCCAAGACAGTGCTAGTGTTGCCATTCTGGATGACAGAAGAAGTTCTCTTCATTTTCCCACACTAGAGTTTTTGTTGGAAACAGATGGTGTCACCAGAAGACCACTACCTAAGATCAAGGTATACTAGCCTCCTTACAAATAGATATCCCCAGCTTCATGTATATAGGGAACATTTCCAAAGTGTGTACGGCTGTAATGTGAGAGTTCTGGGCTAAGGTAACTTAAGACCAAAAGCCCGAATCATTCATCATTTTGATGGCAAAGTTTATCATTCAGTGCCATCATTTCTGAGGTGTGATCCAGTCTGTAATTGCTGAGAGTGTAGGCTAGCTGTTAAATTCAGAGTCGTAAATACTGCAAGCAAAAAAGTACCTACTACTCTCCTCAGGTACTTGTTTCTTGACATCATGACCAATTCAGGCTGTCCAATTTGTACTACAGTGCAATTTATCATTGTTTCACTTTACCTCTGTGTACCCAGTTAAAATAACTTAAACTAGCCCAAAGAAATCCCTTTCTTTTTGGATTTATGCTTGTAGCTAAGTAGTCATTTGGTTGTTTCACATTTCAAAGCTTTTCTCAGTCAGTCCCTCCAATTCACCAGTCATTTTGTTGGCTCAAGCTCAGTCCTCTGCAGTTCTGCCACAGTTTGCAGGTGGTTAAGTGCTCATCCCAAATGCAAGCGCAGAAACTCCTGAATCTTTCCCCAGGAGTGTTCCTGTGCATGGGCATGTGCTTTGCTCTCTCCACCCCCCAGAACAGGCACGCCCAGGACACGATCCATAGCTACCTGACAAAATGGAGTAGAGGGAGGATCAATTCGGTGACCAGCTCCTGGATAACTCAGGAGTTTAAAGTTTTCTTTTCCATGCTGGCGTAGACGCCCAATTGCCAGCTCAGCATATAAGGAGCTCTTCCACATACGATCATCTTCCCCTACCACCAAGAGAAAGTGACCTTCTGCTTTTTCAATGGGGATCGTGCAAGGAGAATTGGCAGGATTTGTTGGGTCATCCAGAGCTTCAAAAATGTCAAATACACCATTGTCAGAAACACTGACCTTTTTCATATCAAAACGCAGCCCAGGCAGAGTCATCTCACCATAATGGAGGTCTGCAACTGTGTTTGAACTACAGCCGGAGATACAGACAGCAGCCACTACTTCAGGCAGGAAGGTGATCATGGAGAGTGCTAATTCTGCCCCTTTCCCAGTCCCAATCACTCCAACTCCTGGTCCCTTCACCTTCAGGTAAGATAGGGGATGGGGAAGAGGGGAAGAAAGGAATAAAGGAAGTGTAAATTATAATGGGTTTAGCCATTAAATGCCTTTGGAGTTGTATTATTAAAAAAAAATTAAAAAATAGGTTACTTATTGATGTGACCTGTGGGAAAGCTACAGCCTGGACCCTGGCTCCTCTCTCTGTTTAGTGTCTTGTTTTTCAGAGACAACAAGAGCTGGCAAATCCCATAAAACAACACAGACACAAGAAATACCATCATTTGGACCTCACCTAGTCCTAACTGCTTATTTTGATGCTATTTTCTCTTTTTCCTAAAACAGGCAGCAGGAAAATCAAGCACATGTCTCAGGCAAACAAAGTAACCTCACAAATGACATTTGAAGGATAAGTAATTTTCAGTCTTGTCCTTTCCTAGCCCAGAAAGTAAACCTGAAAACAACATCCCAAGCCATCAAATCCATTCCTTTGCTGACTATTGCACAGCTTTGTACCATCTTCTCTTAAACTAATTGCTTTCATTTTAAAAAATAATTAAATAATCTTTTATCACCACTGCTCCTGTTTAGACGCTATTCCAGCACTTCATAGAATCACAGAATAGTTAAGGTTGTAAAAGATCTTAAGACCATCAAGTTCCAAACCCCCTGCCATGGGCAGGGACACCTCACACTAAACCATGTCACCCAAGGCTCTGTCCAACCTGGCCTTGAACACTGCCAGGGATGGAGCATTCACAACCTCCCTGGGCAACCCAATCCAGTGCCTCACCACCCTTACAGTAAAGAACTTCCTCCTTATATCCAATCTAAACTTCCCCTGTTTAAGTTTTAACCTGTTACCCCTTGTCCTGTCACTACAGTCCCTAATGAAGAGTCCCTCCCCAGCATCCTTATGGGCCTCCTTCAGATACTGAAGGCTGCTATGAGGTCTCCATGCAGCCTTCTCTTCTCCAGGTGGAAAAGCCCCAACTTTCTCAGCCTATCTTCATACGGGAGGTGCTCCAGCCCCCTGATCATCCTCGTGGCCCTCCTCTGGACTTGTTCCAACAGCTGCATGTCCTTTTTATGTTGAGGACACCAGAACTGTACACAATACTCCAGGTGAGGTCTCAGGAGAGCAGAGGGGCAGGATCACCTCCTTCAACCTGCTGGTCACGCTCCTTTTGACTGTTCTAATGATCAGAAATCTAGTTTCCAGCATGAATTTATATCCAGCTCATGCTAGAAGTCACTCTGCAGTCATATGCATATCAACCTACACAGGACCTACACTTTTTCCATTATTTGGCCTAAACCTTCCCAGCAGAAACTGACACTCCAAAACCACTACTGCCACCACTTGGGTGTAACTGCTGAATCCTCCCTTGTACTGAGGTGTCTCATTCCACTCACCTTGGGGTGACGCTGTAGGAATCTAGCTGCCTCCTCAAAGTACTCAAGTTGGAATTCTTTCATGACCTTAGGCAGATCTTCAAAGTCAAAATACGGCAGAGAAAGAGCAGCAAAGCCACGGGTAGCCAGGAGACTGGATCTAAATTCAACCAAACCTCCTTCATCCCCATACATGTCGATCACTCCTGGAAAGGGGCCATCCCCTATATTAAAAAGAAGGTGTATAGAGGACAAGTTATCAAACGATCACCAGATAGTTTTCAGTGTAAGAGTGAACAACAAAATACGGATGGCTGAAGAGATTTTCTGTTAATACTCATTACTTTTCCATTTGCACAGTACACATAAGAGAACCAGTGCTGTAGCCCACTTCAGCCTTTTTCAAACTATGAACACGTTCTTACCTTCCTGTAAGAAATACATGAACAGTTAAACTTGGTTTTTTTTTTAAATGCGTTTTTCAGTGGTCTTAACCTACCTCCCGCAGAACAATCAGACCCTGAATCATCTCTTTTCCCCACAAAGAGGTCATACCTTAATTAGCAAAATGCAAGCTCATTACTAATGATGCAAGAGCACTAAGCCGTGGAAGTAAATCCTACAAAACTTACACAAACTCTGGAATAAAGTGCATTGAGCAAAGCACAGGAAAGAGACACCTGTTCCTCTAGGAAATCAACTGGGCTTAATATCTCTATCTCAACATCAGCACTGTAACATTTGGCAGCAGAACTGCTACTGCAGATGTGAAGAGAGCTGTATGGGTATGGTTATGTGTGCGTGACTGATACACAGATAAGTATGTGCAGACATGTACAATCAGTCCCACAAACCTACAGAAACAATCAGAACCACAATTTGAAATGAATATGGTTTTGCAGCCAAGATTGTGTTGTGATATTACTGTATGCCATGCCAGCAGATCTTGAGTTAAAAGGCTAAGGATACTACACTACCTGTTGGAACTAAGAAAGACCCCTGGCCACCAGATGTCACCACCAATGTGCACGGATCCAGCTTGCTACAATTATATTGGCAGAAAAAGTACATGCTTGAGCAAGAATGCATTAACTTTGGCATTGCCTATGTGCAATAAAGGCAAGACCCTCTGGCTTTTCAAGGTGATTAAGAAAAAGAAGTTTTGGACAAGACATAGCAGATGGTGGAAATCTTCTAACTTAAAGCCTTAGGAAGTCAGAGAAGGACTTAAACATGCTTTTGGGCTCCTTTTCTTTCAGTTCTGTAATTTTCCACAGAAGTTTAATATTCTACTTGAGAGAAAATATGCCTGGATAAATTTATCATAATGCCATGATCAGCAGTAACCTTTAGTTAACAACAGTCAGCCTAGATGGCTAGGAAAAAAAAGTGTGCATTCATTTATCATCCCTACCTGGAAAGCTTTCTAGCAAGCATGTGATCGGAACACAGTCAAGCATGAATGTACTTCTCTCTCATGAAGACAACCTTTTACACAAGGATCTTGGACTGCCTACACATGCCCAAGTATACAGTTTCTGCATAGCTCATCAAAAGAAATAAATGGGCTAGTCAACTTTACTATTGCTTAAAAACAAAGAAAACCTTTCTGTAACTCTTACGCCTGAATTGAGAAACCTCTTTCATATCAAAAGTAAAGTTGTAAGCCCTCTCATGTCATCTCACTTTTACTAAAACTGGTTCACATTTAACATGCCTATCTGAGTAATATTAACATTTTCCCATTCCAGAAGCAAAGAAAGGCGTGGTAGCAACGCTGTAACTGGATCCTCCATCAAGAAGGGCACCAGTATCACTTAAGCAACGATTCCAGATTTTGCCATGCTATTGCAACACTACAGTTTCTGAAGGGAAAAATGCAGTTCCATCTTTCAGATCTCTGGATTCCTGCTGAGCTCAGCAGAAATCCAGCTCATCTTCTAAGGGAGGATATATCAAAACAACCACATCTCGGTGATGAAAAGCCCAGCATGCTGATTAAACATTTGAACCAAAATTCAAAGTTCAGTCTCTGTTGTTGCTTTTTTTTTTTCCTCCCCTCTTCAGTGGACTTTGGATCCTTATCTAAATGGATAAAAAGATTATTGGTTTGGAGATAATTCCCTAATACTTAAATCCCTAATAACTCTAGTGATATTTACAGGATTTGCTTAACCGAGCTGCTACAAATTAGAGGCAATAGGGAGGGCAGTTCTAGTAGCATGACACTCAGGGAAATACAAGAAGTTTAAATCATGGCTTATGCATACACACACCATCATCAGTGTAAAGTTTCATTTTCCAGCAGCACTGCCAGTCCATCAGAATATCACACCTCATAAAGCACAACCATTCCACAAGGAGAACAGGTAGAACTTGCTCAGAAATCTATTTTGCCTTTATACCATAGTACAACTGAAGTAGCTCAACTATTAACTTAGCTTTGGCTCTGGTGTAACAGAGGAGGAATACTTGTATTTTCTTGAATCTCTTCCACTGTTCTGATCACTGGCATGTGTTTCACATGGAAGAAAAATACCTTTTCAATTTGATCATGCTCAGGGTAAAATCCTTGGGAGATTTAGCACAGGCTCACACAATGAAGTGTATTAGATTTTTTCAGTGTTACAGATTCTGGCAAATCCAGAGCAAACACCAAACCTACTGAAAAAACACAGACCAAGAGCAGCTACGTTGCACACTCACAACTCCTATTCATTCTCATTTAGCTTCTGTCCCATAAGAGCCATCTGCCCGTGCCTGCCCTGCTCGGCGCTGCCGGCGAGGACCAGGCAGTGTGGCCGTACAACAGGCGGGCCGGGCCGCGTCGCGAGAAGCCTTCGGAAACGTCTCCGCCAGATTTCAAGGAAAAAAAGCCCTGTCTGCAGGGTGGCGTTCAGCTCTCTTATGGAATATGGATTTCCCGGGTGATACCCTTTGCATATGTTTCTTTTAGAGACTTTCCTTGCTCTGACCAGAGACAGCAGGGCCCCGTCAGCCGCAGGATGAAGGTCTCCGGCCGGGCACTCACCCGGCGGCAGGAAGAGAGAACCCCTTACTCTTCCCTCCTTCAGCCGGATCCTCCGCACGCCGGGGGCCGTAAACCACCTCTCCACCTCGGCCTTGGCCACCACGGGCCCGGGGAAGGCGCCGGGCTGGCTATGGCCCTGGTGCACCAGCATCTCCACCTTCATCGGGGTGCCGGTGCTGCGGGGAACGAGCCGCTGGTAAGGCCTCTCCATGCCGGCGGGGGCGAGGCTCCAAAAGAGCCCCATGGGCTCCACGCCGGTGTAGTCCCCGCCCTGCGAAGCGTCCGTGCCCAGGTGCAGCTCGCCGCGGCCGTCCGCCCGATAGTGCGCGCACGACTGGAAGAGGCATCCGCGCTCATCCGCTGCCACAGCCCGCAGGGTCACCGGCTGCCCCGGGCCCAGCCCCGCAACCCGCGTCTCCACCCGCTCGTCCGCCAGCGCGGCGGCGGGGGACACGGCCATGCTTACGGCCGGTCGCCGAGGGGCGCGGAACAAGGCCCGCACCGGGGCCGACGCGACAGCGACAGCTCTCCACATGATGGCGGCAGCTAGGCGGCAGCCCTGCGCCAACGGCAGAAACGGTAGCGCTGCCGCCGCCCCGTCCAGACGGCCTCAATCGATAGCAGAGCCCCCGGCCCTCCCGCCCGGAGCCGGGGCGGGAGTGGTCGATCCCCACCCGCGGCCATTCCCGGCCCCCGGAGCCTCCCCCAGTCCATCCTGAGCAGCGAGCCGCTGGCTAACGTTTGGTTTTAATCCGTTACAAATACAGGGAACGCAAACAGCATAAACATACCTGCAGAATTCACTTCAACACGAACAGCAGCCCAGACCACATCCACCCGCCTCGGCACTGACGCGTTAAAACCTGACTTCTATCCAACAACGCAACGCACCAGCACCCCACGAGCGAGAGTCAAGTGCTTCTCGCCTCAGACTCGCACTCGGGTGCCAGGAGTTACGGGGTATCCCTAGGCAGGGGTTGGGAAGCGTTCGGCTGGTCCCCATTCCTCAGGGAATGTGGCCTGTGTGGCCTGGCGGGACGGAGACGCGACGCAGGGCCACAAACCTGCCTGCATGGCGCTACTCCATAGCAAGGCAAAGCTGCCTCGTGGAGCTGCCATGCCAGCTTTACGGACTTGCTATTTTTATCAGCGCTTCCAAGCAGGCAGCTGTGGAGGCATAAAGGGAATATACAAGCAGGGAGAAACGACCCTCCAGCAGTGCTGTGGACCTGCGCAGGGATATACAGCCTTGCTGAGGAGATACCTGTGAGGAAGGAGGCATGGACCCAGAGGTAGAGTGCAAGCCAGATCGTTTATTGAACAGATTACATGATATTTATATGCTTCCAAGCAATTAGCCAAGCACATCTGTGTTTCCCTTGCGGTTACATCACGTGAAAGGTCCATCTGATTTTCTTATCGACATCCTCTTTCCAGTTCCGATGTCCTTGTTCCTTGCCAGCTCCAGCGTCTTCCAGGTACCAGTCAGGGACAGGTCACTCTTAATTGCCTGCTGTAGTTCCTCCTTCCCATGGTCTCTCACAGCTTTGATACATTCCAACCCCCACAGATACCCACCAGCAGCTCCATGTATAGCTGCTAATGGGTCCAATTCTGTTGTTTCTTCATGCTTACAAACCTTCCAAAACTGTATAAATGTCTGATTTCTAGTTCATGTGCCCAGAACATCACATTAGGCTGTGGAATGTTGTTGGCTATAAATGGGAGATGTATTCTCTGAAGATGCAGGCACAGTATTGCTTCTTTTGGTGAATGAAATACTAGAGACTAAGTGTTAAGGCAGATGCATCTCAGTGATACGGGAGAAGAGGAAGGAGCAACAATGTGCACAGGGAGAAAGATTAGTGGAGGCAGGAAGACAGAATAGCTGCTTCCAGAAAAACCAGAGCCCAAATCTAGCTCTGGTAAGGACAATGGCAAACATAATGTTTCTTCTAAGAAAACCAAGGCAAATTCTTATCCCAGTTCTCAGCTTGAATAAGTTACCTTCCAGTGAAATTAACATTTAAAGCAGATCCAACCTTACCACCATTTTTCTACAGCTTGTAATCCCATACTACACATAACATGGCACTAAGACCTCTAAACGATGTTAGAGGAGGGTGTTAAAAGAAAGCAGCCCTCGTGCCTTCACTTACTATCATCCCCCAAGAAACCCAACAACTTATTCTCTGATGTTCTTTGTTCTCATTCAGAGGCATATAACATAACAAATTTGAAACACCAGACTTTTCCTCTCTAAAGTAACCTAAGTCATATCACCGCTTACGAGATGTTCCAGATGGCTTGCCCATGAGGTGTTTGCAGAAGAAAGCTCGGATCTGCTACCAAGCATCTACCTGTGCCTCACAGTGTGCCTTGGGCTCTCCTCCCCAAATCACAGGCTTGCCAACCAGCTGGTGCATTGAGGCTGCACACATTGGGAAAAAAGGGGGTCAATGTAGTGCCCTGCTCCAGGATAGCAGACTATCTCAGGCTTTTCCTTCCCGTGAGCTTGCAAACGTTTGCTCCCCTCAACTGCAAAGAATTCACTTTTCCAGTTGTGATCATCCTGGCCAACAATGAACAAGAAGCGACACTCAGCCTTCTCCAAAGGGATGAAGCTTTGGTGGTCAGGCCCTTCTAGTGGGTTGTTCAACAACATCAGCAATCCCAGACTTGCTGATCTTGACACATTCTGGACTGAAACCAAGGGATGGAATGGTGATGTCCTTGTAGCAGAGCACTGCGCCCGTATTTGCCACTGAGCCGTTTATAAGGGCAGTGGCTGTGATACCCTTTAGGAAGGAGACCATGGAGATACACAGTTCGCCCCCTTTGGAAATTCCAAGCAACCCAATCCCTGGGCCTTTAACCTGGAAGGGAGAGAAGGGAAACCACAACCACTTCTTTAAAATGTTGCCATGTCCACAGCCATGTCTGTCCTGAATCTGGACCCCCGGTACAGGCATCTAAGTCCTGTGTGCAGCACCTATGTCTGAGGGACCCTGGAGCACTGTTTGATCATAAGCCCTGCTGAGACTGCAGCATTACCCCAACAAATCTACAAGGCTCAGTGCTGAAGCATATGCAGAGGGTACAGCTGTGCTTGTAAAAAGCATACAACGTGCAGCCCCAGATTCACTTCTCTTATACGGCAATTCAGGGGAGAAGGGGGAAGGTGCACAGGAGGCCTCTTCTACAAATACCTCCTATCAGTGCAAAACAGTATCAGCAATGACTATGGTACTCTCATCCATTATGATAATATCTATATGAATATTTCTTATATTCAACCACTGCCTTTGAGTCCCCTATTAAGAAGTTAAATGGAATAGCAGACTCCACATCAGCCCTCTCCTGTTTGTCTAGTATGCTTGGTGTCTAACTCACAGTGAAAGGGGAAGTATGTGAGGTAATTACTAATTAAAATGTATCTTAAAAAAAATATAACCTACTAAGCCCATTTTTCTAAGCGAATTGTACAGTCCTCTGGAGTCAGTCTAGGATAGGTTACCTCCATTTTCTTTTACACAGAAAAAGTAACTAGAATGGGAAGACTAAATGATCTTACAGGCTGCTGAAGTGTTCTAAGGATACTGGAAGGAGGTTAGCTAATATCACAACTGCTCCAATATACAAAGACCCTTAGGGGTAAAGCGGGCTCTGAGACAGCATTAAAATTTAATACCTTCTGTACCTGATCACCAGCCTAATAGGCTCTAAACCTACTGACTGAGACATGGGGAGAAATTAGAAAACATAGCTGAAACTTTGCAACATGTTAAAAATATGGTGAGGGTATGAGTGGAGGTGTTAATGGAAGGCTATGGTAATGCTCTCAGGGATAAAAGGATATGTGGGAAGCATTTTTCAGAGTTTTTTGGGCAGACAGGTGGCACAAACATTTAGGGTTAGGGTAACTGAAAAGCAACCAAGACCTTTAACAACTGCTCATCTTTCTGAGGTCAAGGAAGGTGTTTATTTCAAGGCCTACAGAGAAACCAGGTGTTGCCTTGTGCAGTTCTAGTTACTGTCATGCACAGCTACCTGGAAGGAGTTGCAGAACTGGAAGTCCAGTAAGCCTCCAGACAACTACCACCCTGGTTATGACACTGGGTTGAATGAAGCAGAAATTATCAGTATGTGACCTATGTGTCACTGTGTCACCTGGCCAGTTCAAAAGGAAGAATTGGAATAATCTACTAGAGAACCATTGTAATGGGAGTTAAAGATATAAAACAAATTAATTACAGCCAACTTGAATGAAGGTGCTATTTTAAGTACAGCAGCTCTGCCGCACCTGCAGTCTGACAGGACCTGACTAACGAGTTCCCTCTAGTGACAGTGTCAATGAGCAAACCAACCTGGGTGTGTTGTAAAAATAGTTTACGGCTTCTTCAAAATATTCCAGGTGGAGTTCCTTCATCTGTTTGGGAAGATCTTCATAGCCATAGTAAGCCAGAGCCAGCACAGTAAAGCCCTAGTTGGCCAGCAGTCATGCTCTATTCTAGGAGTCCTCCTCCAACTCTGCACAAGTCAATAATGCCTGGAAAGGGGCCATTTCCTGCAAGAGACTACAGGACACATTAACCCACAACAGGCAAGGGCTTGCCCACCAGGCTCTGCCCAGCCCTGGCACCAGCACAGCCGTAGGAACTGGGAGGATGGTCAGGAGTGCTAGAGGGATGAGGGAGGGATGCCTTCACATACCTTTTAGGTCAGGAAGCATCCGACTCTTTCACTAATGGATTGTACAAGGGTTTTAAAAGGCAGTCATTCTGTCCGTCGTACCCAGAGCTGGGTATTTGCTCCAAAGAGACCTGCAAAGGGAGAACTGCTTCCTCATGCTCTCTGACTGTTCCTGGGATATGCAAGTAGAGGTACCTCTTGCTCAGAGCTCCCCATGTCTGACTTAGTGGTGTGAAACAAGTGGAAGCATCTGAGGAAATTCTCAGCATTGTCCTACTTTGAAATACTAAGTGATCAGAGGTATTGGGTAGTTGCAACAGTCTTTCGCTCACTGTGGAGATTGCCCTGCCTCTCCTAAACAGGTGGGGTACTTTGGCATCTACCACTTGGGTATGTTGTCTGGTACCCAGCCCTCATGTATGGCAACTTCTGTTATTGAGAACAACACTTCTTGGCTTGCAGCACTGGATTTGATCACCAGATTGATTTGATCACCTTATGCTGGAGCAGATGCTGAGGGAAAGGGCCCTGAAGGCTTAAGCAACACCACTCCTCCACACTTGGTGCCCTAAGAGAGTGAAGGTAAGGGGGCTATGTGTCAGCTCCCAAGCTCCTGCAAGTTCCACCCTGGGATGAGAATGGTCAAGATGCAAATTTCCCTGCTTCTAACCAAAGCACAGCAAATAACAACATGGCTTTCAAATCTTGGTCTCTTTATTACAATTCCCACCCTAGTAACAAAGCTGAAAAAGTTCCATATTGGGTGGAGGAAAATCACAATGGATGTAAATTTATCAGAATGGCTTTTTACATGACATTTTGGGGCCAGAGCACTTCCTTCTGAGGGGAAGATGGAAAGAAGGCATAGAGGGCAAACTAACCTTCCTGAGGGTTAACCAGAGATATCCTGGCATCTTGGTATAGCACCCATTCTTACACACTTCCAGCAGCATAAAAATTAGAGATATTTCCATTTGCAATGAGGTAGTCACCATAAGAGTGGTGAAATCCCTACTCCAAAATTCAGCATTTGAGAGGTGTTGCTTCAAAGTATGAGCTGAGGAGTGTATAGAATCATAGAATCATAGAATAGTTAGGGTTGGAAAGGACCTTGAGATCATCTAGTTCCACCCCCCCTGCCATGGGCGGGGACACCTCACTAAACCATGTCACCCAAGTATGTATGTATGTATGTATGTAGAGACCAGAGTGATATGCAAAGTACTGTCCAGTATTAGAAAAATAGAAATCACCTGAGAAATTTAGCTGTGCATATGATCTGTTTTATCAAGGCTAATGCAAATCTATCATCCATTCCTTGAGCAACAAAAGTTCAGGAAAAACTGAAAAAGCAAACCCAGTTCTTTTCTGAGTTACGGATGTGCAAAGTCATGGAAGATACTGTAGTTGTACTGATACAGCTGTGAACAAGGTTTGACCTGATAAATGTGAAAGAATTTAGCAGATCTGCTTGTTCCAAGTTGTGTGTTGCTTGCATGTTCTTTTTTTTTTTGCACATCAGTTGTCATTTAAGTATTTGTGGAAAAAAAGCCTGGATCTGTGGCCAGGCATGAAGCTGGGCTCTGCAATGAGGCCCAGGCTCCCCACCCATGACTGCCTGCTTGTGAAGAATGGGATGGTTTCCTATGGGGGACAAAGGGAAAAAGGGAGCGTCAATGCAATGCCCTGTTCCAGGGTAGGATTGAATCTTAAAGTTTTCCTTCCCTTGCCTGCAGAAGCTTGCAGACTTCAGTAGCACAACAGACACTTTTAGAAAACTGGTCATCTTGTCACACAATGAATAGTAACTGTGCCTCAGCTTTCTCTAGTGGGATCAGGCTTTGGTTGCCAGAGGCTTGAAAGGGGCTCATGAAGATGTCAGTTAAATCAAGAATATTGGAATCAATGACCTTGACCTGTTGTTCATCGATGACCAAAACAGGGATGGTTTTATCTTTGTAACACAGAGGAACAATTGTAATGGCCATAGAGCCATTGAGGGAACCAACGAAAGTGATGTTCTTGAGGAAGGCGGCCATGGCGAGACACAGATCAGCTCCTTTGGAGTAACTGAGCAGGCCAACCCCTGATGCCTTCACCTGGTAGAGAGGCACAAATCCTCATTAGTACCGAGCTGAAAAACACAGCAGCTAATTCCTGGAGAAGGACATTGTATAATGATAAGAGTTTGTACAAAACACCATGAAGGAGGTGATGGCAATGATTAGTGTTTCTTCTGGACAAGTACCAAGCACCTCACCCCCTTCAAACTGCTGTCTTTGGTAATGTTCCCTGCTGCACTGACATCAGGCAAGAGAGGGGGAACATGATTTTACTGATTTGAATATAGGTTGTAGGACACAGCTAAAAGTTATCAGTATTAAGACACTGGCAGATGCTCTTTACTTTTCATTTTTGAAACTGTAGGAGGAGATTTGGTGGCAATTCATGAAGGCTCTCTCCTGCACAGCCTTCCTGCTTTGTTATGTCTTAGCTGCCTCTTGGGAGATTTCTTTGTGATCTCTCTCCACCACCCTTCTATTGTGTACCTGTTTGAACTTTCTTCTTTCCTAGAACTCAGACGCTCAAACTCTTGGCAGATGCCAGCCACTCCAGGTGAGTATTTCAGCAGCTTCCTCCAGAGGTAACTCAGGCAAAGTGACAGACACTTTGGAGAAGTGCTCCCTGGAGCCCAAGGGACATAGAGGGTGCTCCTACCTGTGGGTGCTGCAGCATATAATTCAGTGCCTCTTCAAAATATTCCATGTGGATTTCAGTTGGCTCCTGGGGCAGTTCCTCTTATCGGTAATAAGCCAGGGCCCATATGGCAAAGCTGTGGTTGGCCAGCAGGCCGGCTCTGTGGTCAAAAAGATCTCCTCCTGCGTATCCATGTATGTTGATGACCCCTGGAAAGTGTTCTTCTCCTGGAGCAGACAAGACAAAGAGTATTGCCTAAAATAACTCCTCTCAGTTTTTCTGGTTTAGAAGGCATAAAACGAGGTACACAACAGGAACTGCAGTAAAGCATCTTTTTTGGGGAAAGGACACAATCAGTGACTCAGGTATGTAATGCCAGCAGCTGAAAAAACCTTAGAGTATGTTGCAGAGGAAAAAAGGCTCAGGAGCAGAAGTACCTCTTGGGTAAGGTCCAAACCCTTATTTGTTTCAGGAATCAGCAGTATTTTTGCATTGTGCTTAGGGCCAACAGACAGAGACTGGTGAAGGCCAACTTCTCCCTGTAAGCAGCCTTGTACCAATGATCACTTCATATAGCAATGTAAAAATCTTCAAGGTATCATGATTTAATAGATGTAATATTTTCAAATAGAAACTGTAAGCATTTGTGTTGGTATTGTGGCTGTTGAACATCTGGGATCCCTTGAAAAGTGTTAAGTGGAATCCACCAAACCAGCTCTTTGGGGTCATGTCTCTGGCTGTGATCACTATCAAATTCTGCACAGGATGCCATGGGTATCTCACTGGGTGATGGGACAATTGTTGTTTGGATCTTTCACTTTTGGCCCAGCATCCTTTTTTTTCTCATCCTGTGAAAATCCTGCTCCTGACCACCCAGTGCAAGGGAAGAGAGTGCTCTGCATGTTGCATTACTATAGTCCAACGGGTTTTGGGGCTGTAGGGCCCAAGGAAGCTCCCCAGGCCAGAAAGAGTGTCCCTAGCCATGTTGAGGAGTATGTAAGACCCAGCTCACCCCTACTCTTGGCTTCAGGAGAGCCACAGGCCTGAGCGTGGCCATGTCTCTCAACTGTTCAGGGGTGTCCTGCCCTGCACCATGGTAGTCTGTGCATCCTCAAATAGGGCTGCAGGTGGAAGGTGGGGACATGCTGCTGGGGATCATGGAGAAGAGGGGAACACACAGCACCTGCTTGCTCTCTGCCTTGGGCCAGGGAGAGACTTACCATCCCAAGCAGTGCTGTGCACTTCCTTCAGCTGCTGTTTGCATGCAGGCAACAGCACATCTGCTGGTTCTCCAGAGACTCTGAGCATTCAGAGCAGTAGCTGTGAACAGAGGCCAGAAGCGCAGTTGTCTGTAGCCCATGGCTCAGCTGAGCATAGCAGGACACTGTGGGCTTGCACTGAACACGCACAGAAAAGGTGCTGAATAAGGCCATGGGAGTGCTCAAGGGAGGTGGGGCAGTACTATAGCAAAAGTCCTTTGAGCTGTCTATCTTTATGTGGCCCTAGGTGGTTTGCTGAGGAGTATCCAACTCCTGAATCTTAACGTGGAGATGTATGGCACAGAGAGGGCTCCCAGGAACCAAAACTCACAATGAGGTATCTCAGTGCAGAACAATTTGAATGGTGGCAAAACACTTCTCCAGCTGTGCAACAGAAGTACTGCCTACAGACCAAGCTTACAGTCCTGCTAAGATGAAGATTGGCTGTGGTGGCAGCAGGATGAGAATAAACTCTTTCTGTCCTGTGCATAGGAAACAATTCAAAGCACCAGGGTGTGCAGCAAGGGCCTATCATTTTAGAACATACACAAAAGGAGTGTGCTGGGGGACACTGAGGAGATGCACTAGCATCGGGCTTGCTGGAGCAGAGGGACTCTCGGCTTCAGGGAAGCAGGACAGTTTGGATACAAAAAAAAAAAAAAAAAGTATGAAGATGGCTTCTTCCACCTCCTATTCAGCAGATGGGGCAGAGGTGAGGCAGGGAGCCCTGGCCCTGCTGTGGGTGAAATGCTGAGGTGTGGAATCAACCCTCCCACACCCGGTACTCTGTCAGGGAAGTCTACATGTAGCTGCCCAGAAGATGGTGCAGGCTGGTGGCATCTTGGGCAATGCTTACACTTCAGAAAGGTGCTCTGCACCTTTTCCAGAGCAATTAAATGATTGTCTTTTCCTGCTGGAAAGGTTTCATCCCTGTAAATGTTCTTGAGTCCCTGCTCCTTCCCCTTTCACAAACTGATGATGTCCACAGGGACCCCAACACAGTGGACCATATAGTTAGTTGCTGCTGTGCTGGGGGAGAAGGAGGATCCCCAAAAGCCTCCCATTGAGGAGGACTGCCCAGGACAGGCACAGAGTCCCTCTCCACCACTCTCGTCTCTAGCTTTTAGTCTCTAGCAGCCCTCCTGGCACACTCACTTTGACTTGCTGTGCTTTTCTCCATGTTTATAAACTTCAAGCTCTGGGCAAGAAGGGTTATTCCTCTGCCTGCTTTCTGCAGTCATGTCCTGGCATCCACACAGGCAGGTGGATTGGGAATGTTAGGTTGGTCAGCGGTGCAGGCAGGTGGGAGTAGGGGAAGAAAGGACAGGCTTTCATGGACTCCTCTACAGAGGTTATGGAACAGCTTGCCTGGACAGAACGTTGGTTTCTTAGAATCATAGAATGGTTAGTGTTGGAAAGACCTTAAGATCATTGAGTTCCAGCCCTCCAACACCTTCCAATAGACCAGGTTGCTCAAGGCCCCATCCAACCTGGCCTTGAACACTGCCAGGGATGGAGCATTCACAATTTCCTTGGGCAGCCTGTTCCAGTGCCTCACCTTCTTCCTTATATCCCAGCTAAATCTCCCCTGTTTAAGTTTGAAACCATCCCTCCTTGTCCCATTACTACAGTCTCTGGTGAAGAGTCCCTGTTTAGAGAGAACAGGATGGCCATGGCCAGTACTCACCGGGAGGCAGGAAAAGCGTTGCCCGGATCCTCCCGTCTCGGACCGGGACTCTGCGCACCCCATCCTGCAGGCACGCCCGCTCGTGCTGTGCTTGGGCCTGGAGCTGCCCGGGAGGGTCCCCGTGGCCATCAAATACGTCCAGCTCCAGGACGAAGGGGGTCTGCACGTCCCACTTCACCAGCCGCCAGAAGGGCTTCTGGGGCTGCAAAACCCAGAGCAGCCCCATGGGCTCCAGGCCGCAGAAGCTGCCTCCCGGCAGAGCGGGGCAGCGGGCGAGGTCCAGCTCCCCGTCGTAGCCGGCTTGGTAGCGGGCGCAGGTCTGGAAGAGCTCGCCCGTCTCGTCCCGCAAGGACGCCCGCAGCGTGATCGGCTGCCGCGGGCCCAGGCCCTGCACGGCGATGGCCAGCGGCTCGTCGAAAAGGCTGCAGGTGGCGGGCGAGAGGCGGATGGAGGGTGCCGCCGAGGAGAGGCTGCAGGGGGAGGCCATCGCAGGGGGAGGCCTATCACAGGGCTCCGTGCGGCGCTGGGCCAGGGCAGCCGCCTCTGCCAGCCACGGGAGCCGGCCCGGCACAAGGAGCCCGTCACCTGCCACATGGCTCCTGCGTTGATGCCTTCACTGTGTCTGCATTCAAGATGAGGCTTCTCTTACCAGTGCAGCTTAACACACACAGGCGAAGCGGAATCAGGGCAGGAGCTGTGTGGGCCCATGCAGTGATGGGAGATATCAAGGCTGCCTGGAGCCACCGCTGGCTGCAGCCCTGTCAGTGCCCATGGCAGGGTGGTATTGGCACACCAGTCCTCTGACTTTGTGGAAGCATCTCCAAAGGGTGATAATGCTGCCCAGACACGTTAACAAACACTGCACTTATCTGCTGTGGTAGCAGGTCTCTAAACAGGCATCCTGGTGACTGTCCTTGCAGGTCTGGACCCAGATGCAGCTCTCCTCCTTGAGCTTCTCTCACAGGCTCTGCCTTTCCTCTCCCAAACTTGGCTGAACTGCATGATCCCTTCAGAAGAGGTTATTGCTTTGCTGCATGCAGACCTGCAGACAATTGGCACCACAGTCTGGGAGCATTTTAGCAGCTTGCTCCTGCCACCCCCATGGACTGCTGCCAGCAGAAAGGCCACCCCTGTGGCAGCTGCATTGGGATAGCAGTGGGGCAGCATGGCAGGGTATGGCACAGAGCTCCTCTCCAGTCTCCTCTACTCCAGCTCCTGTTCATGACAGGGCACGTGGACACAGGTCTCCTGCAGCAGCAGGAACTGCAAGGTGGAGTCCCATGGGGACCCTGTGCTCCCCATCTGGTGTGGGGCTGCAGCTCGAGCAGGGAGGCAGGCAGGGAGCACCTTTAGGGCTCAGGAGCCACCTACCCCCTGGGACAGGAACCCACCTTGCTCAATGGACCCATGCCAAGAGGGGCGGGTGTTGGCCCTGTGCTACTGTGGGCTCACAGGGCCATGGCCTAGGAGAGACAGCCCACGAGCCCAGTGCCACTATCCTGGCATCTCCTGGGACTTCAGGTCTTGTGCTTATTGGCAGATGACAGCAGTTGGCATGGCTGCTCCAAAGACTTGCATCTCTCCCTCCCTCATGCTCTGCCATGTGCTGTTCTTGCCCAGCTGAGACAGAGTGCCTTACCCATACTAGGGCAGGCCCATGGGTTTTGGCTTGCCCAGTTGGGAGCATGGATTACAAAATACTCCAGGTAGGGAAGGGCCTGGGAGTTTCATTTGGTACTAATTCTCTTATCAGTTCTTATCTCTTACAGAAATTTTGCAGTCCAAACACAAAGCAGCAGGTGTGTATCCTTTGAGAGAAGAGTTCACAGCAGCTTCCCAGATGACCAGACCATATCGGGGCCAGAAGTGGAAGTTGCCAGGCAGACCACATCCTTCGCAGAGGAGAGGTGAATCCAAGGCACAAAAGACAGAGCTCTTCCAGAGAGAAGGTCTGTCTCACTGCAGCCTGGAGCTCTTAACCAGAGATACCAGCACCACTACTTTTTCTAACACCCCATATTGCACTCCATATTGCACATCAGCAAAGATGTTTTCATTTGTGATAAGACATTAATTGCAAATGTGGTGAAATCTCTACACCAAAAGATGCATATGGTGGAAGTTGCTTTAAAGTACAGCTGCAGATGGCATTTGCATGGGGCAACCACAGTTATATGAAGAGTATATTTAAAGTTCACAGGCCACCAGTGAGATAAATGGGCATGCTGCATATTAAGATCAATTCAAATGTTGTCCCTTTTCTCAATGCCTGATCAAAAAAGACCAGGGAAATGACAGAAAATGTGAACCAAATTTAACTTAAAATTGTAGGTATATCAAGCCATGTTATTGGGGTTATACCAGTGCAGGTGTGATCAATATTAATTCCATAAACAAAATATACATCTAGCATTGACTTTCTTTGAGATAGCAAATATTTTTCTGGTTTGATTAACAAAACACTTGCCATTGCAGAAGTGATCTGCCTGCCAGGAATGAAGTGCCTGTCAAGAAAAGAGGTCTCTAGAATACTTCATGTGAGAGAAATAATGTTTCCCCATACTGAGGATGGATCTTTGCAATATTAAGGCTTTGTAATCTTAAGGCTTTGCAATATTGGGGCTGGGGCTACGTTACTAAGGGAACCAAAAAAAGGGTTTGAAATACCATGACTTAAACAGACACACTCTGTAGTTAAAGACAATATCATGTTTGGGCGACCGACACACTCTGTGGTTGAAAAGAATGCTATCTTTGTACAACCTATGAAACTAAGGCAGTGCAAACTGGTTCTGTAGTTAAACAGTAAGTTGGGGTACCATATGTCTGCTAGAGAGTCATGAAATTGAACCATAAAAGGAGATAAATAACTAAGACAAAGGGGTGTACAAAACCGAGTAAGGGAAGATGTAAACAGAAGGTGACAGTTAGGACGTAGATTATATGCTTTGGATAGGCTGTAAACCTTGGAGTACCCAACCAATGTGGAATCAAGGGAGGGAAGTTGAGGACAGGATAGGAAATGCATATCAAAGTTCTGCCTTTGATGTGTGTGCCTACTTGCTAGGACACCCGTTTTTGCAAAAACATTAATAAATAGCTGTTTCACTGCTGTATCTACCCTGAGCTTTTAGAAGAAAAGTTTTATCTAGAGACCATTTCTCACACTTCAGAGGCATGTTCAAGACTTAGTCAACTAAAGCTGAACTGAACACCACGCAAGGCAAATGTCAGCACAACTTCTTAGCTGGACTGCAGCTGAAGGTAACTGGTGAGGACATTCAGGTACACTGAGAGATTGATTGCACTAAGTACATAGGGGTGATGGCTGCCGTTGCTGGAGCCAAGGGGCTGTTACCACATGCAGTTGCACATTTGGCTCTTGCTGCCATATGACCCAAACACCAAATGTCCCTGGCAGTCCACTAAGCCATGGCATCTCTAGCGCAGACAACAAGGGGCAGCTGTGAAAATTATGAGTCTCCTCTGTTTTCCTGGTGAATATATCCCAAGGAGATCTTCAATATGTAAGAAGTATAGAAAAGATCACAATGCCAGTTGTCTGAACATGTTTTCCTCTCCGTGCCAGATCCTCAGTGATAAAGTGTGACATCAGAAGGTTTAATGAGGGCTCTGACAAGCATACACATTGTCACTAGGCTCAAGGCTATTCTAGCTTGTGCATCTGCTGCGGTGGAGCAACATGGGCTGGTCAACAACCCTCCCTCCTTCTTTTTGATGGGAGAAGTCTCTGATTAGAGGCTGTGATCTGTGTGTGGGAATGGGAAATTGTTACTGCTATAAAACATTGTGAAATCAAGCAATTGCCTGTTTTTTCTTTATCGGCACACTGCACTGTAGAATCATCAGTACCCAAGAAGGGTACCTTTGGATCCAGTATTATCAAAAGCCATAGAAGATGCATGCTCCAAAAAGCTGCTCTCATTTAAGACACCTCAGAAATCAAGGGAATTGGGTGAACTTAATTTTGACGCTCCGCTTTGTACTTGATTGCACACATACATTGCCGAGGTGAGCAACATTTACTGAGGTGAGCAGCCCCAGAGAGGACGCCTTCAACACCTGAGCAGGGGGAAGGAAGCTCACCGTCCGGGAGCGTCAGCTCACAGCGGTGAGAGCCACCGAGGGAGCCTCAACCCCTCCACAGGACCTGCCCAGGAGGCGGCAGCTCAGCTGACGCGATCAGGGACTCACAGGGGGCGGAGCCAGCGGGGGCGGAGCCAGCAGGGGCGGCCCCTCCCTCAGCGGGGAAAATCCTCGCAAGCCGTTGAGGAGGGCAGCTGGCGGGCGGGTGAGCGCTCGCCTCAGGGCCAGGCGTGGGAGGTCTGCTGTGGTGCCCGTGCCCGGTGGCAGCAGCGGCGTGCCCTGCCCAAGGTGCTCGCAGCCAGGGCCGCGATACAGGGTGAGAACACAAACTTGCCGATGCTGCACTCGATCCCCTCATCCAGCTCATTAATATGGATATTAAACATAACTGGGCACAACCACAACACCATGCCCTGGGGAACACCACTTTTGACCAGCTTGTTATCAATATTGTAGCCAATTTTGGTTTAAAGTATAAATTTTACTAAACTGAGTAAGCGATAGCAGATAAAACAGCGCTGGGTGCGCCGGGGAGTCCTCCGCTCCGCCCAAGACGCGCACACGCGGTCCCTGGGAGGTGGTCCTTTCTTTTCGGTTCAAGGTCCCAGCCAATCCTGTCGCCCCTCCTCACTCGGATGTTGACATGGCTCTTCCCCATTGGTTCCCTTTGTTGCAGGGGTCTCATTACCGAGAAGTTTCGGGAAGTTTCGAAAGCTCCCAGAGGCTTCGAGAAGCGTCCACTGGAGCCTCCTCACCGTCGCAGCCCCCTCCCCTCCCCTCAAGCGTTGCAACAAGACACCACTTTGAGCCACCCAGCCCCCTTTTCTCTCTCACAATCCTGTGCAACAATACAACTGACCTCCCCCCCATTACTTACAGAGTACAACAGTTACAGAGTCAAAAAGGAGTATTGTTTCACATAAGGACAGCCACAGAGAGCCTCCCTTCCCCCAAACTTCTTCATGAACAAACCCCACACATTACAAGCTGCCAACTAGATTTATCTCCATTCACTACCCATCCCTCTCATGTATCTAAGAGCATTGTCCATTTGCTAATGGAATGCCAACAGGCTTGGGGACATCACCGTTTCCTTTGGGGACTTTGTTCCACTGCTTGACCGCCATCTCTGTGAGGATTTTTTTCATAATACCCAATCTGAATGTCCCGTGACACACAACTTTAAGCCGTTATTTGCAACCTATCAGCAGACCCCAGAGAGAAGAGATCAGGGCCTCACTGCTCCCTGTCCTGAGGAAGTGGTAGACAGCAATAAGGTCACCCCTCCTCTGAGCTGAACAAGCCCTCATGTTCTCATGCCTGCTAGTCCTTTCACCATCTTCATCGCCCTCCTCTGGACATGTTGCAGTAATCCTTAGATCCTTCTCCCACTGTGGAGCCCAAAGCTGCTCGCAGTACTCGGGGCAAGGCCACACCAGTGCTGAGTTCAGTGGGCCAGTCCCTTTTGTCGGCTGGCCTGCGGCACTGTGCCCAACGCAGCTCAGGAGGCGGCTGGCCTGGCTGGCCTGTAGGGCACGTGTTGACTCCTATGGAGCTGACCATCAAGCGATCAAGCACAGCCCCTGGAGCCCTTTCCATAACCTAAAATCTCACAGAAGCAGTGTTTGTTTGGGTGTTATATGAGGGATTTATTGGCGTCTTTGCACAGGGGAAAGCTCCCAGAGGGAATGGACCCTCTCAAAGAGGAAGGGAGCTCACTGTCCAGGTAGTAACAGGAGTCACTGTTGCCAGGCTCCTTTCCAGTGGGCTCTTCAGCTGCATCTGGGTCCCACTCCCCAGAGCATGCTTTTGCTGTGGAAGAAAGGTGAGGCAGGAATTCCCACTGCCGATAGAACAGCATGTTCTCCGTGCCCAGCATGCTCAGTTCTGGGGCACCAGCTCCCTGGGGAGGGTCCAGCATGTGTAGATTTTCCATCCAGACCTCAGTGAACACACGGGGGCACATCAGCGGTGCCCCTCACTTTGTCCCTGCACAGCCAGAGCTGCC